TATATATAGTATTATTTTTCCATAAGGATACGCCCCTGCTAAGCCCAATTCCCAAAGTTGACCCACATCTCATTTTCAAACACTCTGTAGACATTTAATTTTTCATGCACATTATCAACATAGTATTTTTCATTTATTTGGTTCTGACAACATTTACTCTCCGGTCCAACCTCATTAATTTCTTTCCGATTCATCCGCTGACCCTCGCTCCAACGCTTTTCATTTCTTCTTCCATTTAATTTGCAGCTATATCTTCACACACACACACACACACACAAAATGTCCATAGCTAACTTACCTGATTCCGCAAGCGGAGTAATTAGCCTCAGATATGGTATCGCCATTGTCATTGGCATTTTGATTCTCATTTGCCTTATCATGTTTGCTTCCTACGCTTGTTTGCGCGTCAAATTAGCTGCTTCTTCTAACACTGAAGACTTCACACCTGCATCTTCTAATGGGATTATTTATAGTTACTTCCTAGGATTGGATCAGCCCGTTATAGAGTCATTTCCCAAAGTGGTGTTAGGTGAAAGCAAGAGATTACCCAGTCCAACTAATGCAAATCTATGTGCTATTTGCTTGTCTGATTACTGTGCGAAAGATTTGGTTCGTTGTATACCGGAATGTCAACACTGTTTCCATGTAGATTGTGTTGACGAATGGTTGCGGAAGAGTGGGACTTGTCCAATTTGTAGGAGCTCTCCACCTAATTCTCTAATTGTCGGTTCAAACTTCGCCTATGCTCACTACTCCTCTTGCCCAATTAGTACCCTTGGCTTATTATCAGAGATGATGTAGTTGCAAAGGTGTAGGTATTAATTAAATACGTTATAATTTGTATAGTACTTCTTGTTTTGAATTCTCTCCTTTTATTTTTGTTTTCTTATTACAATTTGTGTACAATCTTGTTCCTAAATTTTATGTAGAAATTGTTGAAGTTCTTGTTTTTTTATCATTCTCCATTTTTTGTTACCTTTGAGTGCTTTATAACACATTTCGTGTTTTAAAAAATTAAGTCAAAGTATAGTTTTGGAAGATACCTATACATTTTCCGTAAACTTACATAAAGTTGTGCATAAGCAAAAATTCATTATTACTTGTATACGGTTTAGTTGTCATTTTTGTTGCCTGATACAAGATTGAAAAAGAATACAGAGATCAGTAATGTATGAATTAAAGCAACTAAATTTTTCAAAACAACCTTAAAAGTGAAATACATGTTCAAATATAATTTTAAATTACAAATATCATTTTTTTTTAACTTAACATATCCAAAGGCATGCTTAGTTTCTTGACTTAACAAACTGTGAAGGTAAGCCCCGAGCCTCCTAATTTCTCTTCCATAATATTGGAAAGCCTCTCAAACATGGAAGGTGTAAAATAATTCACCCAATCCCCAATCTCACCTTTCCTAAACAAATTCCTGTTTTCAAAGTCTGAAATTGCCCCTTTCCCTTTCTTATTCACTTGTAAATCCCTCAAGTTCTGAAAACTACAAAGATTTGACACATCTTTTATTATTCCTCCCTTTTCCTCCTCCTTTGTAAAAGGAAACCCCAAGAACTCAGCTAATCTCTTCAATTGATTACACATATCTACTTTCATATCCTCATATTTCAAGAACAACACCTTATTTGGACTTTCTAAGCTCTCTCTCCAGTACCCCAACATATGTTCCCAATAAGGACCAAACCCTGTAACTCCCCTACAGTACAAATCAAAGGCTTCCTCAAGAGTAAAAGGACCTAAAGATTCAGGTCTAATTTTTACAATATAATGCCAAACTGAAACAAAGGTGTCAAAAGGGTTCCTGCAAATGTAAACAATTTTGCATTTTGTGGTCTTAACTGAATTTGGTAATGCCCCAAATGGGACGTGAGTAGCAATAAGGCGTGGAGAAGGTAAAAGAGAGAGATCAGGAGGGGAATTATACTCAGCGTAAAGTTTGTATTCAAGAAAGGGTACAAGTTCGTGAGGATTATGAGTAAGTAAAGGGTGATTAATATTCTTTTGTTGGACGTTGAATTTCTTGCGGTTTACAATGGAGAAAGTGAGTGCTTTTAGCCATGTTGTGCCAGATTTTGGTATGGACGCGACTATTAGGTCGCTGTTTTGAGCTTTAAAGTGTTGTTGTGTCGAAATTATGGCTCGGATTTCTTTGGGTTGACACCAAAAGCCTTGGAAAAAGAAAAGATTGGGTGTTCTCCACCCTTTTTCTTTGGGAAGAGAAGTGAAAAACTCATCAAGATCCTCGCTTAGAGTTTCTTGTGGTTGTTCACTGTTGGATTGGCTTTTGAGGAAATCTGTTATAGTCATTTTAAGTAGTGTTCTTGCTAGCTGAGTGATGAATGAAAATGGATTTGATTTGCATGAGAAACTAGAGCTATATAAATACTAGTAGTGAAATGGTATCAGTTCTTATTTCTTAACTTTATATCCATGAAAAACATGGGAGATCCAATTCAAAATATTCAAAGCAAAACAACTTTTAATACGCAAACCCAAATAGTACAACGTGTATCTCGACGCAGTGTAATGGTGGTTGCTATGTAGCATCAAAGTTACGCAGAGCCGGATCAAGGATTTAAATCTTATGGGTTCAACTTTTAAAATTTTTAGTATTGAACTCATTACATTTTTAAAGTTATGGGTTCGTATCTACTATTTTTACAATTTTAATGAATTTTTACATATAAATTTTTACTCCGCGTTAAAAGTTATGAGTTCAATTGATCCCCGCTGAGTATATGCTACATTCGCCCCTGAAGCTATGAGTTCAGTTAAACCTATAACTTTTGACACTGATTATAAACTTTAGTGTAAAATTTCCTAAAATTGTAACAAATAATATATATAAACTCATAACTTTAAAAATATAATTGATTCAATGCTAAGAACCTTAAAAATTGAATGCATATATAGAATTTAAATCTTTAATCTGGTCGCTATCACGTTTAAACCATGCAAAGGGGGACCTATATATCGATTGTTGAATAGTGGACCAAAAGAGGAACCATAAACAATTGGAATTAATGCACGTATTTTGACATGATATATGATCAAGTGATTGTTAATTTTTCCTTTGGTTGTCCAATTTATTTTCATACAATATTGCTACGTCTCCAAAACCCACCTTCTACCAACATCCACGGTATTTCACGCAACGAATAAACTCTTTTTTATTAAGTAAAAAATGATAACTCTCGACGCATTATTATGACTTATGAGATCAAGCAACTACCAGGGGTGGCCTTGGCCCCAAATTTTTTGGGGCCCCACTTTTTTTTTTTTTTTATGTTATATATTATAAATAAAAAATAAAAAATTGTGCATATACTGTTGGAAGGGAATTTTTTTGGAAGAAAATAATTTTTTGTCTTTTATGTGGGGACCGTTGGTGTCTAATTTCTTGCATAATTATATGCTATCACCTAACATGAGTCCACGTGACTATTCCTATATTTTTGTCTTTTTCATTGTCTCTTTCATTGTCTCTCCTTATTAACTATTCTTATATTCCATTGCAGACTTACCGTTTTGTGTGCTCACAAAAGATCAAAGTTTGCTTTTGGGTGTCTTCTTCAAAATTTCAAGCATTGTAACAAGACAAAAGCAATCGTTATTTTGAAGCAGTGCAATACTATTTCGATGCCGTTATATCAACTTATCAAATTCTTGAGCCATTTTTATTATTCTAACTTTATATTATATTTTTTTATTGAAAATTTGTCATTATTGATATTCTTACTTCCTAAGTATATATTTTTGTTTTAGTTATTATTAGATTTTATTCAATTTAAATAAGTCAACTAGAAAATATGAATCCGGTTAGGGGTGTTCATGGTTCGGTTTGGTTCGATTTTTCCATAAAAAGAAACCAAACCAAGTAAGTTGGTTCTTCAAATATTGAAACCAAACCAATTAAGTCGGTTTTTTATCGATTCGATTTTTGTCGGTTTTGGTCGGTTTTTCAGTTTTTCGGTTATTTATCAAGTTTTTTCTTAAATATGAGACATACACTACCAAACACATATTCCGGAGACTACATTTTCAACGTAACACTATCAAACCAATTGCTCTTTGAGAAATCTATCATTTACCAAGATATATTAATGATAGTTGAATCAACTAGTGATGAATAATTTAAGTACTCAATTAAAAATCGATTATTTTTAACATGAAATAAATTCTTGTACTTAGCAAAAGAAAACTACCAATCAAACTAGAATGTAAAGGCAAAGAATTAGATTATTATAATAGAAAAAAACTAGACTAAAAATATAAACGACTAATATGTACCATAAAATTTTAGAAACTTTATATATATATATATATATATAGGTGTAATAATAAATTTAAATAGCTACTTCTATAGTATGTTTGGTTCGGGTTTTTCGGTTATTTTTTGATTAAAACCAAAACCAAACCAAATTTGATCGGTTTTTAAAATTCATAACCAAAACCAAACCAAACCTAAAAAGTATCAATTTTTTTGGTCGGTTTGATTCGGTTTTCAGTTTGGTTCGATTTTTCGGATTTTTATGAACACCCCTAAATCCGGTTATGCAAAAAGAGAAAAAAAAATGTGAAGAATTAATTAAATCCCAAAAGGGAGCCTTTGATAGATTTTTAACAAATAATAAACATCTTGAATAAGAAAACACGGGAGAATGTTCTTCAAATGAACAAGTCACTGATAGAGTTGAGTTAGATGATAATAACATCCAAGAAGAAAATCTAGAAGAAGTTACTACGAAATCTGACATAGTTCCACAAAATCAAGAACTCTTAAATGATTTGACTAACTGCATCTCTAAAAATATATATGGCGATTTTATTTTTTTTTTTTAATATTAGTGCCTCTCTGTGAAGTTTGGCTTTAGGCCCCCCAAACACCGAGAACAATAAACTCGCACGATAGGAATGAATGAAGTGAAACTATTCTAATAGTTCTGTAACCTCTCGAAGATAAGTACAGATGTCTCCGTACCGATCCGCAAGACTTTACTAAACTCGCTTATGACTCGTAGTACCTATGAACCTAGGGCTCTGATTAGGGGTGTTCAAAATCGAACCGAAATCGAAAATCGAACCGAAACCAAAGCTTAATGGCTTATTGGTATCGGGTTAACAGTTTAACGGACGGAAAACAAATTAATTTTTTTTTATTAACGGCTTATCGGTTTGGGGGCGGATTATTCAATTTTCTTAACGGATNGGCAATATAAGCACGAACCAACAACTGCTTAATAATTTAAATATTTTGCAGGATGGGAACCAACTTCTTGTTAGCATTGCTAGCAATATTGACTACTATTATGGCTCAAAAAGAACTGATTGTCAACATCACCATAGTTCACAGTGCCACTGCACAATACATTAAGCAACAAAGAGTAAAGAGAATCACATGTAGACTTCTATGAGTACTAAGTATTTATTTGTTTATGAGACATCAAATAATGTGCCTCGATGGAAGCCCGCCAACATATCATCTTGATAGAGGATATGGTAGCGGACTTCGCAACTGGATTATCAAATTGGTTAAGTTCAATCTTAACCAAGTTGTATTTTTATTTTTTAACAGTTTGTCATCTTCTTAAACAGTAAGAAATTTGTTCAAATGATATTGTTGATGTATTTTGTTGTGCACTTCTCAATCTCTTACCATCCACTTGAATGTAGTATGAGAAGATAAAAGAAGTATTTGATATCCAGTAATATGGTCTCATGGTGTAATTTAGTTGATATATATGTATGAGAAATGTTGACTATATTGTTGTCTCGGGGATGTACTCCCCAACACTGTGTTGAAGTATGTTAAGTTTCAATCAACTGAAACTAAATCGATAACCGCCTGATAATAGCTAAACCGATACCAATCCGCCAGATATCTTATCGGGTGGCTAGCGGATTAATACATTTAAAAATCGATAACTAATAAGCCAAACCGTAAAGAGCAAATAACTGCCCAATCCGTCCGATAAGCAGCCCTAGCTCTGATACTACCTTGTCACGACCCAAATCTCCCTCCGTAGAATGTCATGATAACACCTAGTCTTAGGAACTAGGTAAGTCTAACGTTCACCGAAATAATAACAATATTAAATAACGACTGACAAATGCGAAGTAGAAATCTCTATACAATACTTGCAATCCCAAAACCCGATAGTACAAGTCATAAACTCTATTGAATTACTAGAAAGCCTATAAATACAACTATTTTGAAGTAGAGATAAAACATTGCAAGTACAACATCAGAAGGTGACTCCGAAGCTTGCGAACGCAGCAACAGGTTTACCTTAAGTCTCCACAGCAAGTTACATACTGCTAGCGAGTGGTCAACTGACTCCATATTACCTGGCTCTGCACAAAAATATGTGCATAAGTGTAGTATGAGTACACCACAGTCGGTACCCAGTAAGTATCAAGACTAACCTCAGTGGAGTAGTGACGAGGTATAGTCAAGGCACTCACTAGTCAAATAACCTGAGACATACAAAAATAATCGAAAATAAATAGCAGTGATAGCAACAATAATCAACTAGTGATATAAACAGTAAGGCAGCAAGAACACCATAATTATTACTCAGACGAATAAGAAAACACAAGTACGACCAATTAAACAAGTCTTTCACATATAATTCCTTCAAATAAAAACCCTCCAAATATATTTCTTCAAATAAGTATCCTTCGAATATAAAACTCTTTCAAATAAATATCTCATATCATAATCATAAAATACGGTTCTCAGCCCTCCTTTCATATTCTTACGGTACCTCGTGCCCATATCTCTATCACAATCGCACAGACAACTTTCGTGCCAAATATGTCAATACATAAAATTCGTACGATTAATCCGAGCTCTCAAAGTCCCAAAATTGAAAATGGGATAAAAACCCTCGAATTTGGCCTTTTTCTGCCCAGCGATTCTGCACCTGTGACGGTGCACCTGCAGAAATTCCATCGCAGGTGCGAAAATGGCTTAAGAGGCCTGGGACCGCTTCTGCGATAAAGTGGCCGCACTTGCACGTACGCACCTACGGACGATGGTCCGCTTCTACGAAGTCCTCCCCCACTCGACTCCCGCTTTAGCGATCACTCCCCCGCAGGAGCGGCTCCGCTTTTGCACTCCTTTTGTCGCACCTGCGACCAGAGGGTACCCACGCCAGGGCCGCATCTGCGAGCTCCCTTCAGCACGTGCGAGTCCGCACCTGGGGTCACCCACCCGCAGGTGCGATTACACCAGAAGCTGAAATGCTTCAGCAATTCCTCCAACTCCCAATTCGATCTGTTAACCACCTGAGGTCCCCGGGACCTCAACCAAATATACCAACAAGTCCCAAAATATTATACGAACTTAGTCGAGTCTTCAAATTAAATCAAACAACACTAAAAACACGAATCACGCATAGATTCAAGCCT